GTTTTAGAAAGTAAAATTAGCAATACTTAGTGATTAATTGCATATGATTGGTGAGGTTGAGGGTGAGGCCTTGAGGACTTGGAGGATGGTATTACCACCAAGAAAACCACGCACACCAAAAGAGGACTGGTGGTGGTGGTGGGAGATAATGAGTTAATATTGACATAATGTCTTTGATCTGGGTCAAGAAGTGCACGACAGTAATTTTCCTTTCAGTGGAGACAAAAACAGTTTTCCTTCTGTAGGAGATGATGTGATTTATACTTTCACCTAGTGGTATGCTGGTAAACTGGCTCCCTGAAAAACAAAACAAAACTATCATTTGTAGCATTTGCTGATTTCTGTGGAATAAACACTCCTACCAGACTTCAAGCTAATAATAGTTTAACAAGCTACTTGCACACCACTGCATTTCGTCCCAAGTATTTGTTGAGCTCCCACTACGTGCAAGATAGAAATCACCATCTTATGCACCCTAATGATGGAAATGATAGCCTATTGGCTTGAAGCAAATGGCTTGAAGCAAATGACTGGGCCGGCCCACACTCCAGGAGAAGGGCTTACACAGGGGGTGAATAACATGGGTGGGGATTGTTGGGGACCATCTTAGAGTCTGCCTGCCACAACCCCTTTTTTTTTTCCATGGAAAAAGAGTTTTAAATCCTGAGCTCTCCTAATATATTTAAAGGTTAGTTTATTTGCCAAAAATAAAAAGTGAGAACTAAATATAATGTGGGATTCTGAATGAAGATCTTGGTAATGTTTGAATAGAATCCTTACTTTAAGGACATTGTACCAGTGTTAGTTTCCTGTTTCTGATAATTATGCTGTCATTATGTAAGTTATTTGCCTTGGGGGAGCCTGGATGAAGGTTACATGGAAACTTTCTGTGCTGTTTTCATAACTTTTCTGTAAGTCTAAAAGTAGCTCAAAGTAAAAAGTTAGAAAAAAATGATTTCTAAAACTTAAAAATCCATTTGCTAGATAAGCCTACTTGTGGCTGTAGCTTTTCAATAAAGTAGTTACTTAATAGTCATTATTCTATTACTTAATTATTTAGTTGTTTAATATAGTTCAATAACTTTGACTTGATGGCTTTATCAGAACTTTTTTTTGCAGGTAAAATGTATAAATTTTGGGGGGCAATGTTGATCAAAGGGTACATGAAAGAGAAAATCTATAATTTTTGTTAAATAAATGAAAAAATTTTAGTATATTTGTTAAAGTTTGTATAAGTAAAATCTACAATTTTTTGGTAGATAAATGAGTTTAGAACATGCTTCCTAGTGAAAATACCATAAAAATCTCACTATCGCTATATAGTAGAATTATTTATATGTTTGTTTGTATATATTTGTTTCAACAAATAATTACAGAGGTGATGTAAGAGTTTTCTGCTTAAACTTTAATTGAAATGGGTTAGGGACTTTTGCACAACACCAAATGCAGTTCGCACGTCAATTGAAAATAATCACCATTTCTAAAATAGCCAGATAGCAGATCTGACTTGTCCCCTGTGCTGAACACTGTTTTCGGATGTCAGTCGGCTTGTTGCTTAGATATAAACACTTACATTCCAAAACAGTGCGGTCTGTCTCACCACACTGTTCCACGTGATGAAAAGCAAGATACTTCAGCCCCTCACAGGCAGTTGAATTTCATGCAAAGCAAGAACAAATGGCTCCTCATTTTGCTCACTGTTTGAAAGGGCTGCTAGTTATTAATACTCTATCACTATTTCACGTGCCCTTGTCCAGCAGTTTAGCGCTTATGGGTCTCGGTTGGTTACACCTCTTAAGAGAGTTATTTGGAAGCGCTCTAGACATTTTTCTTAGGCCCTATTTTTAGAATGGAGGGCCTAATGGTATTTTAATGTCTCTGTATACTCCCAGAACGAATCTCGAGAAAAAATGTCTGTTACCTTTTGAAACTTTGCAAAGCTGGTGGGTTTATCAGTGCTCCCTTGAGAGGCATAGTGTTGAAGAATGAATTTTGACGTACAGAATGTTAATGGGACAGGGACCATGAAAAATCAGCTTTTCCAAACCCATCGCTTTTCAAATGAGGAAACTGAGTCTTGGTATGAGGGAACTGTTGGCCCAACATCAGACAGTGAGGAGCGTGAAAGTTTTAGAGTGATAAACTTACACTTTCCTAGAGAAAATGACCATGGTAAGAGTCAACGAATAAGTAGCTTCTGAGTTCAAGATTGGCTTTGGAACTTGAAAACAGTCTGCTGGGGCCCTGCATGAACCTTCATTGTTCTCACCATGAAAGATTCTGAGAGAAGATGTGGAGTGATCCAAAAATATGTGGGTTCAGAAGTGAGGACAGGTCCAGGAACCACTTGGGAGAGTTGGGCCCCAAGGGTTAGCTTTACAGTCATCTTCCCTACCTCACAACGTTGAATGAATTTTTTCCCTGTAAATGGCACCCTAATTCCATCCATTAGAGATTCCTTTGCTCCAGCAACTCATCTTCTTCTAACAATGCAAAAATCCCCTGCGAGGGTTAAGTGTCCAACTATTATTATGTATTACTCTGTGTTCTTTTCATTTCTTTTCTTCTTTGAAAGCCTAACTGTGATCAGCTCACGTGGGGAATGTAGTTTTGATTGTAGGACTGGAAGAAAATATGTAAGAACAAGTAATGCTCTGGTTGAGGTGGCTGTGTAGGTGGGCGCTGGAGTCAGGGTGCCAGGATGGTATCAGGACATTGAGACCCATGGGGGGGGACTGGGAGGGAAAGGAAGAATGCCAAAGCCAAGCCTAGCTTAATAGGCTTGTAAATATCTGATATATTTACGGTGGGCTCTCTCACGCCTGGAAAAGAAAGAGAAATGCATTTACCCTTCCCATGTGGTCCTTAGCCCCTTTAGTAAATTCTGATTTGTTGCAGGTTAACTAGATGTTTGTAGAATGAAGGAAGAACCCAACCACTGTGTATATGGTTGGTTCACTGGAAAAGTGCTTAGCAAGTTTGGAGCTAACCTTGAATTGTGCTTTTGGAACATACATTCCTGAAGTAAGGACTCGCATGTGATAGAGTAGTTAATAGAATGGGTTCTTGGATCAGTCTCTCTGGGTTTGAATCCTGGCTCTGACACTCACTGCCCTAGTGACCTTGGACGAGTCTCTTATTTTTCCATCTTCAGCTTCCTTATTTGTGTATTAGGGATGATAGTAATAGTATCTGTCACTTAGGGCTGTGGTGAGAAATAAAGAGTTTACGTGCATGAAGCACCTAGAACAGAGCACTTAGAACAAAGGGTAAGTGTGTGCATAGGAATTCTACACTTTCCACATTCCTCAACCGTGTTCCCCAGTGTTATTTGAGAAAATATAGTCTCTAACTTCTTTGGAATAAGATTTAGAAAAGTAAATCTTTTAAAAATGTTACTTAATGGGTACTCTCTTAGTCCTGTACATATCTAATATATTTCCTGAAAGGCGTTCAGGTGTCTTCTTTACACCAAGATGCTTGTGACGACCAATTCATATTTTATATCCTAAAGGTAATCTTTCAAATGCAAAACCTCTCTTTCCACATCTTCACTAATACATTTTGTCACATACTAACGTAAGTAGATGGTTACGTGAATATCAAGATTCTAAAAGATACTTGGTTTTAAGGCAGTTTCTGAGAGGAAGATCAAAAGTATTTGTATCTGAATGTAGTGGTTGAGTACCCCTTTCCACATATTCATATATAACAAGCTCTCTCTGCCAAGATTCTTTTACAGACTCTGTCAGTTCTATTTTAACTCAGTGGCTGGTGCGTCCCATTATGTTTCTATCTGTAAAAGTATGAATGAGCAATGGTAAATATGCTTAGTGATCAGAGTTTCTAAAGCCCAATTATTAGGTCCTTATATGAGAAAAGACAATATAACAGAGAATATAGATCATGGACTGCAAGTCAAAACATCTGGGTTTTCTTTCCACTGCTACCATTAGGAAGCTGTGTGACCTTGAGTCTGTCCCAGAATCTCCTTGGGCCTGTCTCAAATGAAGGATTTGAATGAGATGTTGTTTAAGATTTCTTACAGATCCAAAATTGTATGATTCTGTGATATCTCAGTGACCCTACATTTGTGAAGTACGTGCTTTGCTTTGATTGACGTGTATATTTTCTTTGCCAGTTTCCTTAAAAACCACTTGAAATGGCTTTGCCAGATCACCAGCCAGGGTGACAGATGCAGTCTATGGCTGCAAAGTAGAAAAGCCGCCTGGGTCTTCAAGGGAACAAGTTCATGGTCTTGTCATTGCAGCTTCCTGGTCCCCATACAGAGCTGTGGATCCAGGAGTGTTTGATTATATGTCAGATGAGTAGCGACAAGCTCCAGAGGCATCATTACTTTACCATTAATGGACGGTCGTTTTATTTTTCTATTTGACAGAAGACAAAATAGAAATCTGAGACGATAAATAGCTGTTTATAAACTGTAGATAAAAAATAAGTTTTTTATAACTGTAGATAAATAACTGAGTTGCCACTTGTTTGTATGTTTCTTTTCCAGGGAGGCAATGGAGGTTAAGGAACAGCTTTCTCTCTGTCTGCCTCCCACAGATGCTTTGAATTTCTCAAAGGGAAGATAAAGAAACGAGATTAACCTATTTTGTGACCTACTTCTGCCTTTCCAATTTGGGGGCCTTCATCTCCATGTTAATTTACTCCTTTCGATATGAAGTAGAGCTCTTTTATGGTTGACAGGTTTACTTTGGCACAGGAAATCTAAAAAAATCATTTGGGATAAATACTTCTACAAGAAATAGTCAGATGATCTGGTATGGAACAAGCTTATTCTCCCTAGAATCATGACAATAGGGTGCCTGAAATCCTTGTTATAGGACAGAATGTAGAAATTTAAGTTGTCAACCATAGTAAATATAAATTAAGATAATATTGCAGCACTGGTGGCCAACTTTTCTTTAATTTCATTATTATTTCAAGAAGTAGTCTGTAAAAACATTAATTTTCACCTTTCTCTTTTCTTGCAGCCATGGACTCCTGCCCTGTAGGTCCTTCTGTGAGGCTGCAAAAGAGGGCTGTGAATCAGTCCTGGGGATGGTGAACGCCTCTTGGCCCGATTTCCTCAAATGCTCCCAGTTTAGAAACCAAACCGAAAGCAGCAACGTCAGCAGGATCTGCTTCTCCCCACAGCAGGAAGAAGGAAAGCAATGTAGGTTTCTGTTTCATTTCATGTTTTGAAGTTTTTATTGAAGTATACCATTCATACAAGGAAGTATACAAATAGTGAGTACAGTTCAAGAAATTTTAACAGTGACCAGACCCATGTAACTAGCACCCCAATGAAGAAATACAATATTGGGGCCAGCCCGGTGGCGCAGTGGTTAAGTTCGCACGTTCTGCTTCTCGGGGGTCAGGGGTTCGCCGGTTCGGATCCCAGGTGTGGACAAGCCATCGCTTGGCAAAAGCAATGCTGTGGTAGGCGTCCCACGTATAAAGGAGAGGAAAATGGGCACGGATGTTAGCTCAGGACCAGTCTTCCTCAGCAAAAAGAGAAGGATTGGCAGTAGTTAGCTCAGGGCTAATCTTCCTCAAAGAAAAAAAAAAAAAGAAAGAAATACAATATTAATAGTGTCCAAGAAATGCAGCCCCCTCCTGGTCATGTAGTAATCCAGACACAATTTCATGCTCCCAAAAGAATCTCTCTCCTGACTTCTATCACCTTGGAGAGTTTTGCCTGCTTCTGAATTTCATATCAATGGAGTTGTACAGAAAGCACTCTTTTTATATTTAGCTTCATTTACTCAATGTTATGTTTGAGAGACTCATTATGTTTTCATCTTGTTGTGATTCATTCATTCATTCTTTTTGTTGTATAGTATTCTTATACATGATTATTCCACAATATATTTTTCTATTCTATTGTTGATGGACACTTGGGTTGTTTCCAGCTGTTATGAATAGTGATGCTATGACTATCTTGTACATGTCTTTGATTGAACATGGTTATGTATTTATTCAGCCAAAAAAATTTTTTAAGTTGTTGTACCAATTTATACTCCTACCAGCTATGTGTGAAAGTTACAGTTGCTCTACATCCTCCCCAGCACTTGGCGTTGTCAGTCTTTTTCATTTGAACAGTTCTGGTGATAGTATTGTGGTATCTCTTTGTGGTTGTCAGTTGCATTGTTCTGACGAATTTGACTGAATTTTCAAATTTATTTTTGTTATCTGAATATCCCTTTTTGTGAAGTATCTGTCCAAGTATTTTGCCCTCTGTTTGGTTAGGTATTCTGTCTTGTTGCTCTCGATTGGGAGTTCTTTATGCATTCTGGATGTGAGTCATCTGTTGGATATATGTATCATGAAGATCTCCCACTCTGTGGCTTGCCTTTCCGCCCCCTTGTTAGTGTCTGTTTGGAATAGAAAGTCTTAATTTGAATGGGTCCATGTTATCAGTCATTCTTTTGTAATTCATTTTCAGTGTCTTATTTAAGACATCTTTGCCTGTCCCCAAACAGCAGTTTTGCTCCTGTGTTTTCTTCTTGAAGCTTTATTGTTTTAGCATTCACATTGACATCTACCGTAATTCTGGAATTATTTTTCTGGTGTGGTGAGAGCTAGGGATTAATTTTTTTCTCTGTGTATGTTCAGTTGACCCACTACCTTTTATTTGTTTAGAAGACTATCCTTCCTCTCTGCACTACTTGTAAGGTCACCTTTGTTACCAGTCAAGTGATTATGTGTATATTTATTTCTGGACCCTCTCTTGGTATAGAATTAAGCTAATACAACACTGTCTGGATTACTATAATTTTATAATAAGTCTTTATGTTGAATAGAATAAGTCATCCAGCTTTCTTTAAGATTGTTTGCCTACTTTTGGCCTTTTGCATTTTATATAACTTTTCAAATCACATTGCAATTTCCACAAATGCTGTTCTTTTTTTTTTTTTTAAATTGAGATTGCATTAAATCCATAGATCAATTTGGGGAGAATTGCTTTACAACATTGGATCTTCCAACCCATGAAAATTATAGACTGTGTTAATCTTTAATTAGGTATTTTACATTGGTCATGCTTTAATTCTCTCAGTAATGTTTTGTAGTTTTAACCAAAACTTGGGATCTTGCACATCAACCCAACCCAAGATTTATTCATGGGTATCTGGTATTTTTGATGTCATTGGAAACAGTAACTTTAAATTTTCTTTTTCTGTTTGTTTGTATACAAACAAGTTGCTTATTGATTTGTATAGTTTTCTATAGAATCGTTTGGATTTTCTAAGTAGGCATCATTTCATCTGCAAATAATGACCGTGTGTTTCCTCTTTCCCAACCATTATGCCTTCTCTTTCTTCTTTGCCAGAGAGTTTCCAACATTTCACCTTTAAATATCATGTTTGCTGAAGGACTTTTATGGATACTCTGTTTCAGATTAAGGAAGTCCTTTCTATTTTTGGTTTGCTAAGGGGTGTTTTTTTTTTAGTTGTGGATGGATTTTGAATTTCATCAAATATGTTTCCTACACCTATTGAGATATGATCTTCTCCATATTATGTTAAAACATCAGCTGTAGTGAGATATAATTCACATTCCATAAAATTCACCCTTTTAAAATGTATAATTAACTGGTTTTTAGTTTACTTACAGAGTTGCACAACTATCACCACCATCTAATTCCAGGACATTTGCATCACCCTAAAAAGAAACCCCCGTATCCATTAGTAGTAACTTGCCATTTCTGCCTCCCCCGGTCCCTGGCAACCACTAATATGCTTTCTGTTTCTATGGATTTGACTATTTTAGACATTTCTTACAAATGGAATTATATAATATGGGACCTTTTGTGACTTGCTTCTTTCATTTAGCATAATGTTTTTAAGGTTCATCCACGTTGTAGCATATATCAGTACCTCATTCATTTTTGTTGTCGACTGATATTCCATTGTATGAATATACTATTTTTAAAAATCCATACATTAGTTGAGGAACATTTGGGTTGTTGCTACTCGATTATTATGAATAATGCTGCTATGAACATTCATGCACAAATTTTTGTGTGAACATACGTTTTCAGTTCTCTTTGGCGTTTTTCTTGGAGTGGAATTGCTGTGACTAGTAAAAACTCTACATTTAACATTTTGAGGAAATGCCAGTCCACCAGCAATGTAGGAGGGTACCACTTTCTCCACATCAACACCAACACTTGTTGTTATCCTTTTTGATTATAATCATCCTGGTGGATGTGAAGTGTTATCTCTTTGTGGTTTTGTTTTGCATTTTGCTAACAACTATTTATGTTGATAACTCAATATTTCATGAGCTAAGCTATTTGTGTCTTCTTTTTAGAAATATCTACTCAGATACTTTTACCATTTTTAAATTAGGTTATTTGTCTTTTAATTGTTAATTATAAGAGTTCTTTGGGGACTGGCCTGGTGGCATATTGGTTAAGTTTGCATGCTCCTCTTCGGTGGCCCAGGGTTCACTGGTTCAGATCCTGGGCGTGGACCTACACACTGCTTATCAAGCCATGCTGTGGTGGCTTCCCACGTACAAAATAGAGGAAGATTGGCACACATGTTAGCTCAGGGCAAATCTTCCTCAGGAAGAAAAAAACAGGAGTTCTTCATCTATTCTGGATATAAGTATCTAAGTCCCCTATCAGATATATGATTTGCAAATATTTCTTATATTCTGTAGGGTGTCTTTTCACTTTCTTGATTGTGTCCTTTGAAGTACAAAAGTGTTTTTTAACTTTGAGGAAGTCTAATTTATCTATCTTTTCTTTTGTCACTTCTGCTTTTAGTAACATGTGTAAAATATCATTGCCTAACCCAAGGCCATTAATATTTACTCCTGTGTTTTCTTCTAAGAGTGTTATGGTTTCAACTCTTGTATTTAGGTCATTGATCCATTTTGAATTAATTTTCTTATATGGCGTGAAGTAGGAGTCTAACTTCATCCAGTTATTCCAACACCAGCTGTTGAAGAAACTATTCTTTTCCCATTGAATGGACTTGGTGCCCTTGTCAAAAATCAATTGGCCAGAGATGTATGGGTTTATTTTGAACTCTCAATTCTTTTTCATTGATCTGTATGTTTATTCTTATGCGAATACCCACTGTTTTGATTGTTATAGCTTTGCAGTAAAATAATTACTAGAGGCAAAGAAAGACATTCTATAATGATAAAAAGGTCAATCCATCAGGAAGATGTAACCTGACAGCAGAGACCAGGAATACATTAAGCAAAAACTGATAGACTTGAAGGGAGAAATAGACAATTCAACAATAATTCTCCACATTCAATAGTGGATAGAACAACTAGGTAGAAGATCAATGAGGAAAGAGAAGACTTGAAAAACTGTATCAACCAACTTGACTTAACAGACATGTGTAGAACACTGCATCCAACAACAGCAGAATATATGTAAACATGTATTCACCTAAAAATTTCCATTTTCTTTACTTTCAACCTATTTGTATCTCTGAATGTAAATTGAGTCTCTTATAGACAACATGTAGTTGAATCATGTTTTTGTCCAAGAGGCAAATCTCTGCCTTTGACTGTAGTTCTTAATTCATTTCCTTTTGATGTAATTACTGATAAGTTAGAATCTATATCGCCTATTTTGCTATTTGTTTTCTATATATCTTTATTTCTCTATCCTCCATTACCTCCCTTCTATTAGATATTTTTCTAGTATACCATTTTAATTCTTTGTTGTTTCTTTGATTATATTTTTTGACTTACTGGTTGCTCTGGGACTTACAATTAACATATTAAGTTATAACAATCGAGTTCAGATTAATACCCACTTAATTTCAAGTACACAAACTTTGCTTCTGTGTAGCTTTATTTCCTATCCCCTTCTTTGTGCCATTAGTGTCATACAAATTCTGTCTATCCATTGTCCTTACCTTTTCCTCTGTACTTCTCAAACACTTGATAACTTACCCCATTCAGTGCATTCCTTTCCATAGGTGTACCATTCCAATTCACCTCTGATGAGGGTTTTAACAATTGGACCACCCAGGGAATGTCTATTTCCACCTACCACAAATGATGGCAACCTCAACACCGTCCCAGCAGTGAGTGATCCAGATCAATAACCGAATCATATCACCTGCTTTCTTGGCCCAATTCCTATAACTGTCACAAGTTGGGCTTTCCAGAAGCAGTCACTGGGATGGAGTTTGTTGTATA